GGTGGGGGGGGGGGGGGGGGAAATCGATCCAAGATACGCAACTTCAGCTACGCGAATAGCATAGCTGAAGTCGAAGTATCTTGGATCGAATTACCTGGGGTCCAGACGGCGCGGGATCGACGACCGCAGTTCCCCCGTCGACTGCGCTACCGCCGCTCGCTCTGGTGGAGTTCTGGAGTCGACGGTGAGCGCGTTCGGGAATCGATATATCGCATCTTAAAGAGATGCGATATATCGATCCCAGATAAATCGATTGCTACCCGCCGATACGGCGGGTAGTGAAGATGTACCTTAGGTAACTCAAGTGTTGTTGCTCTCACTCCAGCTAGGCTTGCTGGAGTGAACGGACTTGATTTGTTACATATATGTAGCCCTCTTAGGGCTCGTCTTCCCTGTAACATCCGGGAGGGCCCAACGCACCCACAAACCTAGACTTCTATGGTGTGGAGTTCCCTAGTGTACTTTGAACTTTTAGTGCACAGCAGCGGGGTCCACACAGACAGTGCACAGCCTGCTGCAGTGCTGTAGATTTACACCCCCACATGCCGCACACTAACCCGTCTTATAGATATGCCCTTAGACAAATGACTGCAGCCAGTGGTTCATAACTCTTAGACAATCTTGCCACCTTCAAAAATTCTTGTTCCCGAAACCAATAAAGTCTTCCCCTGAAAAAATACAGACACTGACCTGTAATGAGCTCTCTGACTTCCATGTCGTTTGTCTTCCGCAATAACCTGATCAATGCCGGGATCCCATCGCAGTTCTTTATAGCCACCTTGTTCTCATTATCCTTCCCGTAAGAGATGTTTCTGAGAGCCCCACAAGCTTTGCGATGGACCTCTGGCTTTGGGTGATCTAGCAGACCCACCAAGATGGGAATCCCTTTCAGATGCCTCACATCCTTTTTTATTTTATCGTTCTCATAGCACAGGTGCTGCAAGTATGCTGCCGCGTTGGACTTGACTGGATCGATGGGGTGACTGAGCATGGCAATCACTTCAGGGAGGTCAGGGTCCCGCCACCTGGGGTCTTTGCGGATGCTGTCAATGGAGGGAGAACGCTTGCCCAGGCGTTCGATGCTGGCCATGCTCCCCCTCTCTGGCTGTGCTAATGGTGCTGCGTAGCCACCGTGAAGGTAAGGGATCCTCTCGTCAACCATCTCTGACTCAACAGGGTCATCGTAGCCCCTGCACAGAGAGGAACATTCCAAAATAAAAAAAAGTGTATTTAACATTCAGTGCTGCTAAGCCAGGATTAACATCTGGGTGATGATCAATCTTTTTAACCTCACATATGCATTAGTGATAGGATATTTGCATTTTTCAAATAGTTTTTCTGGCCATACAAAAATTAAGCAACATTAAACATCATTCGGCAATGATGAGACCATAGCATAGAATTTGTTTGGTGAGTAGTAAAATAATGACAGGAATTGTAAGTCAGCGACACTGCTTTCATTTAGGTCATTTACCAAAGCAATTATGATAGAACGGGGTTACATTTAGTGGGAAACACTAAACCTCATTAACGATGATCCTCTTATGATGAGCTAGAAATCTAATTAAAGGCATCCAGGGTATGGACAGAAAGCACCTCTAAACTACTTGTAGTCCCTCCCCAAACACTGCACCAACAAACACTTTTAGCAAGTATAACAAGGTCCATTACATTTCCAATTCAGATCACGTGTTACTGGGGCCAAGACAAGCTCCCTCAGTTCATCAATGATCATTTGCAAAAGGTGGTCGAACACCCAAGTTTTGGAATCGGAGCTCATACCAAACAGATCTTCTGCAGAGTGGTCCAGGATTGGGGCACTCAACTGATAGTGAGGAGGTCAGGGTTTCCCAGCTTTGCCACTGAACTGCAATGTGACCTAGGACAAGTCACTTCACCCCTCTGTCACTTCCCTCCCGGACAGTGGCTAACCCTTCATGCAAGCCCCCAGCTGCAGTCAGTCATCCTGTGCACTAGGAACAACTGTACTGATCTCTCTCTAACAGTGCTGTAATTTATTGTATATCGTTTGTGAAATAAGGCCAGCCACAACCACCCAACATATTTTTGCCCTCCGTAGAAAAGCCCTGATTTTAAGAACAGTATATGATAGTAGTCGAAACTGACTTTTTAATGGCAATCGCTGTAATTCTATCCTACTTTGAAAAAGATCGTATCTTGAGCAGCCGGTTGTGAAGTTTCTTCAATATATTTGTAAGGAGATGCATTTTCAGCTTAAGAACTTGTTATTGAAAGAGACAGATAGATCTAGTTTATCCTTTTGTTCAAAATGACATTTGGGAGGGGGGCCTTACCTCTCACATCCGGTAGGCTCAGCATTTCACAAACTATCTACAGCACAGGTAAAACACAGTAACCAGTGGGGCAATGGGTAAAACCCCACCAGTGCATAATGTACTGCACAGTAGTGGTGTGAAGGGGGGGGGGAAATCAGCCACAGATGCAGGGGCCACCAATCCTGAAAACACATGAATATTCTTAACTTTATGTACACGAGTGAACCCACTGCCTTACAGAATGACTCATGTATAAAGTTACAAATGTGTACAAACATTTTCAAAAAGAACAGGAGTACTTGTGGCACCTTAGGGCTAGTCTACACTACCCGCCCAGATCAGCGGGTAGAAATCGCTCTCTCGGGGATTGATTTATCGCGTCTCATCTAGACGAAGAAATCGATCCCCGAATCGACGCGTGTACTCCCACCTCGTCAGGAGGAGTAAGTGGCGTCAACGGGAGAGCCGCGGCGGTCGATTTGCTGCTGTCCTCACAGCAGGGTAAGTCGAATAGGATACGTCGAATTCAGCTACGCTATTCACGTAGCTGGATTTGCATATCTTAAATCGATCCCCCCCCCCCCAGTGTAGACCTAGCCTTAGAGACTAACTAATTTATTTGAGCATAAGCTTTCGTGGGCTAC